AGAGAGACAGAGAGAGTGGGGGGGGGGAGAGGAAGAGAGCTGTGGAGGTTCCATGGTAACTTCTGTTGTAAGGCACTTTGATATTGCTAATTCCAGTGCTAGGTTTAATATTGGAACATCCTTTTTGTCCAAAAAATAAAAGTATTTTGTGTATGTAAAACTTCCCCAATAATCTAGGACAGTCAGCTGATATATTGAAAAGATAAATTGATCAGTGAATTTTTCAGAAGAAACAGAGAGAAAGAAGCCAAAGAAGCACAAGAAAAAGAAGAAGAAGAAGCATGCATCTAGATCTGTAAGTGGAAAAAGCTGTTGTACAGCTTTTTATTTAGTTATATTAAAACATTTTAGTTGGCTTGGGTAGGGGTAAAGGAGTTAGTCTTGGGCAGTGGTAAATTGATGGAGGTTAATTAGTCTTGGATAGTTGTAATGATGACTGCAAAAGGGGTTAAACCTGTTGCATGAATTGGGTAAAACTGGTATTATCATTTTTTTTCAAACATACTACTCAAAAGTATTCTGGTGAGATCATGTTGCAAGTTTTGGTGTTGAAGAATACCTAAATTTCTTCATCATATTCAAAAATTTTAATTGTAGCCATCTCGGTCGCCATCAGAGGAGGAGGAGGGTGAGAGGAGAGACACAGACAGAGGGTCAGGCAGGAGAAAACAAGATGCACACTCTCCAGAATATAAGAAAGAAAAGGTGAGACAAATACTGGCATGCTTCATGAGCTTTTATACTTTTATAGCCCTTAAAGTGAAATTTATCGACAAAGGAGAACAATTTTTTATCACTGTCATCATATGACTAAAATCACTGCTGATCTTATTATGATTCAAATCATTGTTGTTTTCATTAGTTATTGCCAGTTTATTATTGATAGAGAAAATTATAACTTTTGCTCAAAATCTGGATGGGAACAAATTGTATTTGTGTACAGTATTAAACACATTTGTGTTGGACTCAGGCCACAGACACTGGAGACAGATGGTGGTTGATATATAGTATGTGAGAGTATTTTAATTCACAGTGAATTTCTCTATTTGCAGACGGGCTGGGATACATCAGAGAGTGATCTTAGTGAGGGAGAACTGGAGAAGAAGCGTAGGCAGTTGCTGAAACAACTGGAGGACGATGGTTGAAGATAAAAAAACAGACAGATCATACAAGACTGTAGACAGAAACAGGATTGGATTTACAAAGAGTTAAGAGGTGGCAGAAAAGAGAAATGGACGTCCTTGTCTAGAAAACTGTTATAGAGTTCACTGGAAGACATGGACCTAGTGCATGTTCTCTTAAACTGATACTTACCATGTGAGAAATGATGGTTGTTTCTGTTTGTTTACATTATGTACTGCCTGTGGATGATGCAGTGAGAAGACATTTTTTACCAGTAATTTCATCAATATTCAGAATGTAATGGTTATCTGTTCTGAAGATTAAAATGTCTGCCTTATTCTGTTTATAGAATGGAGAGAGACTGAAAATGTTACATTTAGTTTACATTTAGTAGAGTGAACAAAAAAGGTCATGACCATTTTGTAGCGTTTTTTGTTTGAGAAAAATGTGATTAAACCATTCAACTGCATCTTGTCTAATACTAAAAATGACTGAAATCACTTTATTTTCTGTCAGTAATATGTGCCTCTTGGGAAGATGTTGCCATGTAAAACTTTGGAACTTGTATAAATAATTGCTTCCATGAATGTATCACGATGTATGGTTCCAAATAAAGAGACAGAGTGTAAGATGTTAAACACATAAAACTAAAACATTTCTCATTTAACTTTTGTAACAAGTCATACTTTTTATCAGTTTTAAAAGATGTATGAGATGCATGAATAAATATGAGAAACAATAATCAGCTGGTAAAACTTGCCACCCCTCTGCCATCTTCACACAACTTTGAATCACATTATGACATACAACCTGGAAGTTGATGCTGGAGAGAAGATGAAATAAAATGTGAAAAACACCCAAGTGTGGGCTAAGGACATTCTCACTTTACTTTGATTTTCAAAGAGATATGGTGAGAGTCAACTCGGAAAGAAAGATAAACTCACTGTGTCAAAAACGGTTTAACTAAAACAATAACATATAATGTCCAAGAGATAAATAAAAATAAGTTGGGTTGGTTTTGTGTTTAAATCACAAAAAAAAGAGACTCAAAGGATCACCCAAAAAGCTAGGATGAAGGTAGTAAAAACACTTGACACAGTTAAATGAATTCTCTGATTTATACAATAATAGATTTTTCAAACAGCCTCACCCTATTATTATCACTCCAATGTCCACCTACTGCGAAGATACCCTCATCCCCTTAGGAAGGTGTCTTAATTGTGGGACATTTATTATTGGGATTTTTAGTTGTGGTACATGAAGGGAATATTATTGTGACTTGAGGTACAACTACTTTTTCATGTCACCAAATTGAAAATGCTTCTCTTCATTTACATACAGGTACATTCAAAAATTTCTTTCACAAGTAGAAAAAAAAATATATACATAACCAAGGAGTTACAACAGTAACTGTTGTAACTCCTTGTATAACAATGAATAAAATTAAGCGGTCTTTATTTTTGAGCAAGATATATTTTTTTATCTGTCGGACTGAATGATAATTGAAATAATAAATAAAACTTATAAAATTGTTTAAAGGTAATGTTTGATAACGATTTTAGTGTTAGACTTTGTAACTTTGCATTGATGAGAAAGGAGAGAGTTCAACACAAAAGCGCATCTTGCTCTTCCGATAAATGAGGTAATTTTTCTCAACTCCAAATAATTCCCAATGAAAAATATTTGTCCATTCAGTGCGGGACAGTTGGTGTTCATCAAACAAAATCCATGAAACAAAATGACCTAGCTAATCAAGAACTGTACAGTTTTTAAAATAAAACCAGGAATGGATGTTACGGAGGAATACCTGGCCACGGCGTCAGAGAAGATCAATTACTCTCAGAAGGATCGGGGAGTAGAAGCGAGCGCCCGACGAGCACCAGAGGACGACTTAAAGGGTATTTTCTGTGTGGAAGAGGTGAGCTGTGACGTCGTGTTGACAGACAGCCGGGTGACATGGGTGCCTCTAGGTGCCGGGAAAAGTAAGAACGCTTTAACTTCTTTAGAGCATACATTTAAACCATATCCTTCAGTAATCAGTATTTTAAGATTTGTTCATGTATTTAGAGGAAGTGAAAAACTCGGTCACATTTTTTTTACTAAGTAATTGCATAACCGTGATTACGTTTTTCACGTTAACATTCCTATTTATGGTTTCTGATATCTAATATCATATTTATGGCCTCTGATATCTAACCCATGAAAGATAGAGGTGCACATAAAATAAGTTTGAATTAAATGGCCACCAGCTGGTGCATCCGCTGCAGTGCGGGGGGGGGGGGGGGGGGGGGTTCTCTAAATTCTGCTTACCTATTACCTCCTCAAGATGTGACCTCCTAAAACACCTGTCATTCTAGCACAAAATAAACACATTTATCACTCCTATACAGGAACATAAATGAGAGACTATTAAGTACTTGTTTTAAGATACACAGTGTATTTTTTTTTTATTTAAAGTTGAAAAAAAGAAGTCAAAGAAGAAAAAGTTGGACACAGGGCCAGTGAAGTCAGATCGAAGCTCTGGCTACCTGCTCCTCCAGGATGTGTTGGTGGTGAAAATCCAACGGCAAAAAAATGTTACCCGCGGTCCATCACAGGGTGTGTGTCAGGGAGTGGCACTGTTTACTTATGAGAAGAAAGACAGTAACAAGCTGCGTGAGCGTGTGATACTGTTGGGACATCCCAGTGAAGATATCTGTCACACTTGGGCCAACAGGATAGAACAGGTGTTAGAAGGTAGGTGAACTAATGTCCCTCTGTCTGGCTTTGTCTGTCTGTCCTTTATATTGTGGGTTGTTTCTTATCATCTTTCATTCATTTGGTATATTTTCAGTAGGTAATTACTATCAAAGTGGATTTTTTGAAACTTAATAAAAAAAAAACTGTATTAATATGACCATGACTTATTATTTTTAGTTATCGAAAGCCTAATGTGCTTGACTTCTGATGTAATTATTGTAACCAGGTTATGTGAGACGCCCCAAGAGGATAAAGATGTTCTTGCAGCCCTTTGCTGGCCTGAGAGTGGGAAGGAAAGTGTTCAGAGAGAAAATCTGCCCAATGCTCTTGCTTGCCAAGACCAAATCAGATGTCAAAGGTAGGTCAAGTTAAAGGGTTCTTGCTTCCTTTGATCACTTTTCCTTCCTTGATCCTCTACCCCATCTCTGACTTCACCTCTTTCTCTTCCTCTCCCTTCTCTTCTCCTTTCCCTCCATCTCTCCCGCTATCTCTCCCACTATCTGTCAGCTTGTGTACACATCAAATGTATTAAGACTGTTGTTGGTTATTAATATGTCATGGAGGCATTTTGTTTTTGAAGTTCAGATGGAACCTAATTTACTTATTTTGATTTTTATCAAGCAATGAAAAGATAATCATTATATTTGCACAATCTGTTTACTACTAAGAAGGTCTCCGAAAAGGGGTTTGGTTTGCGAACTCTCTGTTTACTCTATTATTAAAGAGTATTCCACCTGTTAATTGGTTTGTTTGCCCAGCTGAAAGATTATTTGGAATTGCTGAATTTCATATTTACAAACAAACAAAAGCTGTTTGGATAAGTTGAAAGATATGGAGGAGAAAGATAAAAGGGAGATTTGAGAGCCTGGTGGCATGGAGTCGGGGTTCTGTTGTACAAGATCATACCAGTATGTTTAGGCAACTTTGTAAAGTTTACTTGGCAGTGTTGGTGTAAAGGCATTTCAAGAGCAATATAGGCCTCATTGCATGTAGTTGACATAATATAGATAGGCTATTGCCACCACTGAGAATAAAACTCATAGTTAAAATTAGAAGACTTTGTGAAAGAGGCTTAACTATGAAAGCAAAAATTTGTCCAGAGTTCAGTCAGCTTATTCAGGTCACCATAAAGTTCAGTGAGTTTATTGGGGTCACCATAGATGTCAGTTGCCCTTCTAGTTCTGAGGTCACCATAGAGTTCAGTTACCCTTCTAGGGTATTAAAACAGTTATGCCTTTGTGCTTTGGTCACCTCACTACTAAGGTCACCATAGAGTTCAGTTACCCTTCTAGTACTGAGGTCACCATAGAGTTCAGTTACCCTTCTAGTACTGAGGTCACCATAGAGTTCAGTTACCCTTCTAGTACTAGTACTGAGGTCACCATAGAGTTCAGTTACCCTTCTAATACCATGGTCACCATAGAGTTCAGTTACCCTTCTAATACCATGGTCACCATAGAGTTCAGTTACCCTTCTAGTACTAGTACTGAGGTCACCATAGAGTTCAGTTACCCTTCTAATACCATGGTCACCATAGAGTTCAGTTACCCTTCTAATACCATGGTCACCATAGAGTTCAGTTACCCTTCTAGTACTAGTACTGAGGTCACCATAGAGTTCAGTTACCCTTCTAATACCATGGTCACCATAGAGTTCAGTTACCCTTCTAATACCATGGTCACCATAGAGTTCAGTTACCCTTCTAGTACTAGTACTGAGGTCACCATAGAGTTCAGTTACCCTTCTAATACCATGGTCACCATAGAGTTCAGTTACCCTTCTAATACCATGGTCACCATAGAGTTCAGTTACCCTTCTAGTACTAGTACTGAGGTCACCATAGAGTTCAGTTACCCTTCTAATACCATGGTCACCATAGAGTTCAGTTACCCTTCTAATACCATGGTCACCATAGAGTTCAGTTACCCTTCTAGTACTAGTACTGAGGTCACCATAGAGTTCAGTTACCCTTCTAATACCATGGTCACCATAGAGTTCAGTTACCCTTCTAATACCATGGTCACCATAGAGTTCAGTTACCCTTCTAGTACTAGTACTGAGGTCACCATAGAGTTCAGTTACCCTTCTAATACCATGGTCACCATAGAGTTCAGTTACCCTTCTAATACCATGGTCACCATAGAGTTCAGTTACCCTTCTAGTACTAGTACTGAGGTCACCATAGAGTTCAGTTACCCTTCTAATACCATGGTCACCATAGAGTTCAGTTACCCTTCTAATACCATGGTCACCATAGAGTTCAGTTACCCTTCTAGTACTGAGGTCACCATGGAGTTCAGTTACCCTTCTAGTACTGAAGTCACCATGGAATACTGTTTTCATATTGTCCTCCCAGTGTACCTTCATGTCTGGAGTCCTCACTTCGTTTAATATATGTTAGATATGTAAGCCAAAGGTAGTTGTCTGAACATATTTTAAAATATTTTGATAATCATTATTTATTATGAAATATTATTATCTATCTTCAGAGATTTATCACAAAGAACAGATAAAACAGGAGATGGTTCATCTTGAGTTGGACAGTTATGACTGGTGAGCATTTTAAATAATAATTATAATGTATGTCATTTCATCCTTATAGTGCATATTACATACAATATACATCATTTTATTCTATACTGTCTGTTTTTAATTATACATTAGATATCATTTCATCCATTTAGTGTATATTATACTATTATTGATTTTGGCTGAGGTCACCTCACTGCTATATTTGACCTGAAGTTTGGTGGTCTTAGTAGTGAGGTGACCAAAGCACAAAGGCATAACTGTTTTAATACAAGTTTTGAAAACAAGACACATTGAGAATTCTAACTTATATAGTACAGAAATGCATGGTAGTGTAAAAATAATAATAAAACAGACCCACCACAGTACAATTTAATAAATGAGATAAAAATATGAAACTTGTTAAGCAGTTTAAGTACCTCCAGTTCATTACCATGCAAATCTGTCCACTCTTAATGTTATACATCCCAGTGTTATTATTCCAGTTTTATAGTTATACATCCCAGTGTTACAATATACATCCCAGTGTTATAGTTGTACATCCCAGTGTTATATATCCCAGTTTTATAGTTATTTGTCCCAGTATTAATTTTATATGCCCTAGTCATATATATATATATATATATATATATATATATATATATATATATATATATATATATATATATCCCAGTGTCATAGTGATTTATCCCAGTGCTAAAGTTATATATCCCAGTGTAATTGGTCCAGTGTTATAGTTATACATCCCGGTATTATGTATCCCAGTGTTATAGTTATACATCCCGGAGTTATGGTTATACATCCCGGTGTTATGTATCCCAGTGTTATAGTTATACATCCCAGTGTTATAGTTATACATTCCAGTGTTATATATCCCAGTGTTATAGTTATATATCCCAGTGTTATAGTTATACATCCCAGTGTTATAGTTATACATTCCAGTGTTATATATCCCAGTGTTATAGTTATATATCCCAGTGTTATAGTTATACATTCCAGTGTTATATATCCCAGTGTTATAGTTATATATCCCATTGTTATAGTTATACATCCCAGTGTTATAGTTATACATCCCAGTGTTATAGTTATACATTCCAGTGTTATATATCCCAGTGTCATAGTAAAATATCCCAGTGTTATTGTTATATATACCAGTGTTATTGTTATATATACCAGTGTTATTGTTTCAGTGTTATAGCCATGGGTGGTGATGGCACAGTCAGTGAAGTGGATAATGGTTTATTGTTATATATCTTAGTGTTATAGTGATATATCCCAGTGTTATTGTTATATATCTTAGTGTTATTGTTTCAGTGTTATAGCCATGGGTGGTGATGGCACAGTCAGTGAAGTGGTCAATGGTTTATTGCGGAGGTCACAGACAGAAGAAGGGATTGATTTAAAGCCTGGTGTCAACCCAGCCAAGGCTTGTTTACCCTTTGGCATTGTTCCTATAGGTATGATACAACAGTGTAGATTTATATATTAAATACCCTGATTCACAAAAAATCATTTGTCGGCTTTCTTACTATAATCTTTGTTGCCAGTTATGTTTTTCTTAGCAGCTTAGCAGCTAGTCAACTTCTACTGGAACTGCCTAAACTCTAAGGTAGTCAGCAAAGCCCAACTAAAACTCAGTAAATGAGAGTTTAATCAACAAAAAATTGAAAGAACATACAATTTTCATGGTATTGTGTTTTAATATCTTTGAATGTAACTGAAATTTATTGACTGCTAGACGTTCGATTGCATAGTCAAAGACAAGCTAAATTATGTTTTACTGTTACTTTGATATTGAATTGAATTTATCAAAGTTTAACTAATCCATAAAGTTCAAAAACAAACTTCTTATTTAATCTTGATAATATTGGATCTATATATTCCAGGGACAACCAACCATATAGCACACTCAGTTTTGGGGATAGATGACCCGGTGACTGCAATGTACCATATTTTATATGGTAAGTAAGTAAAGTGGTGTTGACCCAAAGACCAAAGACACATTGTATAACCTGCCCTGTATATCTGATATTTTATATGATACATTTTATAACCTGCCCTGTATATCTGATATTTTATATGACACATTGTATAACCTGCCCTGTATATCTGATATTTTATATGACACATTGTATAACCTGTCCTGTATATCTGATATTTTATATTACACATTGTATAACCTGCCATGTATATCTGATATTTTATATTACACATTGTATAACCTGCCATGTATATCTGATTTTCCAGGCAATACAACCCCCCTTGACATATGTGCAGTATACAGCAATGACAAGTTCTATCAATGGGCCTTCAACTCCCAGTACGGGTTTGCCGGGAATATCTTGGATTTTTCCCAGCGATACAGGAAACTGGGAAGCAAAAGAATAGATGCAGCTTTTCTAAAAGCTCTGACAAAATCAAAATTAAAGTAAGTTACTTAGCAGAGGATAATGTTACCTTCGTATCACTTAATAAGCAGGTTAAATGGGCTTTGGCAATACACTTTCAAAGCTATATCATTGTTATTCTGTAGCCCTTTGCTGGTGGGGAAGTTACTGCAGTTGTGGTCCTCTTTTGAATGTTCAGATTGCTTAAGTTAATTACTTTTACTCAATTGAATTATAAGCTGACCTTTAATGAAGTATAGATTTACATTTTGCACTGTCTAAAAACTTTGCTGGTGCATGTGCTAATGCCTCTTTATAGTGATCTCATTCTGAACATTTGCTAACACAGACACACCTCACACAATTACTACTAAAACAATCACATCTAACACAATTACAACTAAAACAATCACATCTAGCTCAATTACTACTAAAACAATCACATCTAACACAGTTACAACTAAAACAATCACATCTAACACAATTACTACTAAAACAATCACATCTAACACAATTACAACTAAAACAATCACACCTAACACAATTACTACTAAAACAATCACATCTAACACAATTACAACTAAAACAATCACATCTAACACAATTACTACTAAAACAATCACATCTTACACAGCTACAACTAGAACAATCACATCTTACACAGCTACAACTAAAACAATCTTATCTAACACAGCTACAACTAGAACAATCACATCTAACACAGCTACAACTAAAATAATCACATCTAACACAGTTACAACTAAAACAATCGCATCTAACAGCTACAACTAAAATAATCGCATCTAACACAGCTACAACTAAAACAATCACATGTAACACATAAACAACTAAAACAGTCACATGTAACACTATTACAACTAAAACAATCACATCTAACACAGCTACAACTAAAACAGTCACATGTAACACATAAACAGCTAAGACACTCACCCCAAACCTATTTCCTAAAATAGTAACAATTAATACAGTTACAGCTAAAGCAGTCACATCTGCCTCAGTTACAAGTACAATGGTCACATCTAACACATTAAGAACTAAAACAGTAATACCGAACACAATTACAGCTAAAACAACCACATCTTAAACTAAACCTGTCACATCTTACACAGGTGAATATCCAACACAACCATACTGAGCACTGCCAGTCACATCTAACACAGCAGAATATCCAACACAACCATACTGAGCACTGCCAGTAACATCTAACACAGCAGAATATCCAACACAACCATAATGAGCACAGCCAGTCACACCTAACATAGTTGAATATCCAACACAACCATATTTGCACAGCCAGTCACACCTAACACAGTTGATTATCCAACACAACCACACTGAGTGCAGCCAGTCACGTCTAACACAGTTGAATATCCAACACAACCACACTGAGCACAACCAGTCACACCTAACACAGTTCAATATCCAACACAACCACACTGAGCACAGCCAGTCACGTCTAACACAGTTGAATATACAATACAACCACACTGAGCACAGCCAGTCACACGTAACACAGTTTAATATCCAACACAACCACACTGAGCACAGCCAGTCACACCTAACACAGTTGAATATCCAACACAACCACACTGAGCACAGCCAGTCACATCTAACACAGTTGAATATCCAACACAGCCACACTGAGCACAGCCAGTCACACCTAACACAGTTCAATATCCAACACAACCACACTGAGTGCAGCCAGTCACATCTAACACAGTTCAGTATCCAACACAACCGCACTGTGTGCAGCCAGTCACACCTAACACAGTTCAATATCCAACACAACCACACTGAGTGCAGCCAGTCACACCTAACACAGTTCAATATCCAACACAACCACACTGAGCACAGCCAGTCACACCTAACACAGTTGAATATACAACACAACCACACTGAGCACAGCCAGTCACACCTAACACAGTTTAATATCCAACACAACCACACTGAGCACAGCCAGTCACACCTAACACAGTTGAATATCCAGCACAACCTCACTGAGCACAGCCAGTCACATCTAACACAGTTGAATATCCAACACAGCCACACTGAGCACAGCCAGTCACACTTAACACAGTTCAATATCCAACACAACCACACTGAGTGCAGCCAGTCACATCTAACACAGTTCAGTATCCAACACAACCGCACTGTGTGCAGCCAGTCACACCTAACACAGTTCAATATCCAACACAACCACACTGAGTGCAGCCAGTCACACCTAACACAGTTCAATATCCAACACAACCACACTGAGCGCAGCCAGTCACACCTAACACAGTTCAATATCCAACACAACCACACTGAGCACAGCCAGTCACACCTAACACAGTTCAATATCCAGCACAACCTCACTGAGCGCAGCCAGTCACACTTAACACAGTTGAATATCCAACACAACCATACTTAGCACAGCCAGTCTTCCATTGATATTCCACTGTGTTCTGTATAATTCCAGACCATATGACTGTGAGATCCAGTTTATTCCTAGTCCTAATGCAGCCACCAGTCATCCCAAGGATGGTACTCCATGTACAACAGGGTAAGATACAGATATCTATCTAACATTTCTTATCACATTTATCACAAACACAAAGGAAGAGGATAAGATACAGATATTTATCTAACACCTCTTATCACATTTATCACAAACACAAAGGAGGAGGGTAAGATATAGATATCTAACATCTCTTATCACATTTATCACAAACAAAGGAAGAGGGTAAGATATAGATATATATCTAACATCTCTTATCACATTTATCACAAACACAAAGGAAGAGGATAAGATATAGATATTTATCTAACACCTCTTATCACATTTATCACAAACACAAAGGAACAGGTGTTCTGTATGTCTAGGTACCACACCCTCCAGTCCTAGAGGTAGTGGTATTGAACTGAGTTCACTGGTCTATTCCAGGTGTTCTATATGTCTAGGTACCACAGCCTCCAGTCCAAGAGGTAGTGTTTATACAGACTCTCTGCATGAATATGACCCTCTAGCTGTCTCTGGGACTAGTAGCACAATAATAGGTGAGTAACACTGGGTTCCCATACCAAGATCGGTCTAACAGGATTAGTCCAAGGGGTTTCTTGCTAAATTGCTTGTAGCTTAAGTAGCTAAGATGTCTGGCATGCCTACTTAAGCTGCTAAACAATATTCAATTACCCCCTAGCAGCTTCAATGGGCGTGACAGACATTTAAATCACTTTAGTTGATAGGAATTTAGCGAGAATCCCCTCTGAGATAGATTGATCCAAAGTTAGTACAATAGGGTCTCGGAATAGTTCCTTAGTTCAATCTATATTTGGCTGTCTCAATGACAGGTAGCCCAATAACAGGTGTCTGAATTAATATATAATTTCATTTGATTAAAGTATATAGCAAGATTTTATTTTATTTAATTTATGAATAGAACATGTCTTATTTTTCTTATATGATTCAAAATTTTAGTAGTTATTTGATGTATTATCTGTTTATTACTATTAGATCTCACCAAAGAGAGTCCCTGGCACTCTACTAAAGGTGCCTATCTGAGTGTGTGTCTGTTCACAGTCCCTGCACTGTGTGAGTGGGCACCTATGGGACTGTGCAAATACACCCATCTCGCAGACGGCTGCGCAGACTTGGTGCTGGTCAGGAATGTGGAGAGAAAAGAGTTCCTGCGATACCTTAAGCGACATGGAGGCCCAAAGAACCAGGTCAGTTAATTAAGAAGAAAGTGATGTGATTGGGACAGATCTTACGAATATTGCTCTCTTGAGAGGGTAGCAAATAAAACAGTGTCTGTCACGAGTAACAGTTTCCATCCTGCGCATATCCTTTTTCAATTTTATTTACAGGCAACTCCAGGCTATAATTTTTTAAAGGTAGTAAACGATAAAATTTTGAATGCAGCTTTTGGCCGTGTTCCTTTTTAATAGTAAGTCTTAAACTTTTTTACTGACATAGCTTATGTGCTTTTTTTAATACAAGGACGCTTTTACAAAAGCATTTTATTCCAGATTGTTTATTTTATAGATTTGATTGGCTAAATAAACCTTATATTTAGCCATTTAGAACTTGTAAAAATAAGTAGTGGACATCTTATTTCAGCCTATTGTGATAACAGCAAAAATCTTTCATTTATTTTCAAGTCAAAATGACTTAAAACTCTGCTTTTGCCTATAGCTGTCTTGGTGCCTGGCCCAAAATCTTGTCACATCATCACTACCAGACACGTAGCACCAGTGCTCAGTACACATGTAGCCTTATTGAACATGTCAACTATTTCCAGCTTGACTTCCCATTCGTTGAATGCTACCGTGTAAAGGAGGTCAAGTTCCGTCCTCGTATGGGGGCTACATGGAAGCACACAGACCATGACTACGACGACTTGGAGTACGAAGTGCTACGTAAGAGCACGCAGTCTACCAGGCTGGCACCTATCAGTGAACAGATGAATGTGGTGGATGATCTCCATGACGACCATAGTGACCAGGATGTGGAAGATGTGGAAGATATTCCTGTGGATAGTGATGAAGATGCAGAGTCGTTAGGAGATGGAAGTGTCTCAACTACAAGGTCAAGGTCAAAACCCAGCAGTGCTAATGTTTCTCTGGATGGATCCAATGTGAGTTGTTAAAAATAGTTCACGTGGATTGTGCTATCTAAAGCCTTTCGTCTTAAGCATTCTGTTTTAAGGGACTGACCATTTGATTGACCGGCTGTTATGTAGCGTGATCTCCTAAATGGAGTACTGGGCATGGCATGTTCATTTTAACCAAAGCTAGTTTCCATTTACTGATGCTTTACTGATAGTCCATCATATTTCTACTGCATTTTAAAGTTTCAGGCAAACTTGGGGGAAAAACCACCGCTGCCCTCTGTAATGTGCTTACATGGTTAACCTCACAGTACAGAATGAATACAGTGGAATTGCTAAAGGTGGAATGTCCCTTGTGTATAGGCCTGAAGTATTCTACTGCATATAGTTTCTCACAAAATTTTTATTAACATCTTTCAATTGCTACGTTTCAGGTTGAGGTTCCTCGCCAGGCCAGCTCTGCCCCTTCCTACCGTCCCTCTAAATATGAGGTCAACATGGAGAAGTACAGGAAGAAGCAGAGAGAGAAAGAGGAGAAAGCCAGGATCAAGGAGACCAGGAAGATGACCAGTGTTTGGAATGTGGACAATGAACTAAGAGAGCAGTTGGACTTGGACTTCAGGTGGGTGTCACTGATGGCTTCTTGTCTATCATTTCTGTCACTTGTTTGGTCTAATAGCACGAGGGCCAGCCTGGCTTATCTTGATTGTTTCCTTTTGAAAGGGTTAGCAGTGCTTTGTAGCTCCAATGGCAGAGGTTCCTTTCTCCCCATGAGAGAGAAAACTTATTCTCTTGATAGATCACATCCAGCTAGAATTGGCCTTATAGAATTATCACTGAAACCATTTTAAATTTGTGTTTAAAGCATTTTTTTTTATCAGAACAATGCCTGTGTGGACTACCAGATGGCAGCACAATGGCTACTGTGATCAAGACAAGCCAACATTTTATTTGTGGTTTATTATTATTGTGACCTGAATAAAATTAGCAAATTTTAAAAATCTTTCAATTGTTTTCAGAGTTCACCCTCACCTGCTTATGGTGTATGGGCAGGGTGTGAGTCCTGACACAGAGTTTGAGGAGAACAGGCTGGGCTGTATACCAAGGTTCTGACCTATATTGGCTGTATACCAAGGTTCTGACCTATATTAGCTGTATACCAAGGTTCTGACCTATATTGGTGTCATACATTCCTGATGTGGATAAATATATTAAAGTACCAAGATACATTTCTTATGTTGAATACAGATATTAAGGTTTCAAGATGCATTCCTGATGTGGATATTACATGTATTTAGGTCTTGGAAGTGAATTTAGGGTAAATCGATTGAAAGGCAAATTTCAGAATGAGAAATTTGAGAAGATACCATACTAGGTTTGAGATTTTTATGTATATTCCAAGGTCATCAGTCTCTACTGATAGTTTTTGACAAGCTTCAGGTTTCAGTACAAAGTGAGAGCTGCTCAGGAAATAATTGATAAAATGTTAGACGCAAAGTTTGTAATCCTACATCCAGTTTTCAAATTTTAATATACATTCCATTTATGCATAAAAAAATGTGATATTTTGAAAATAAAAAAACATGATTACCCAAACTGTAAATTTTAATTATATCAACTACTCTATTTACATTCATGCTGGTCTGTACAACATATTGAAGATAGCTATTTGCATTGCTCTTTGATTAAGTGTCAGACATTAGTGTAGATAAGAAAGAAAAGGCTTATATATATATATATATGCTAGGACAATTTTTACTCAAGAACTTACTGTGATTTTGATGACTTTATTTTAAATTGAAATTTTTTGTCAGCCACATTTTCTTTCTGATTTGTGGCAGCTTTTTTTGCTACGCCATGTGATAATTGTTATTTAGATTTTTTTGTTAAATGAGCCTATAAAGCCACACAATGCAGGTTTGTTTGAATAGACATACAGGTCAATGGGTAATTAAGTTGGTCCAAAAAAAAAAAAAACACAAATGTGTATGTTGTCCGTCCTAATCAAAAACTGCAATCTTTTATTATGATTCATGTCGTTAGTGTTTTGAATGTAACATTTGTGACCACCAAGATGTCATATATCATATGGCTGAGATAACCAGAAGTAGACTGTAGATGTCACATATCATATGGCTGAGATAACCAGAAGTAGACTGCAGATGTCACATATCATATGGCTGAGATAACCAGAAGTAGACTGAAGATGTCACATATCATATGGCTGAGATAACCAGAAGTAGACTGTAGATGTCACATATCATATGGCTGAGATAACCAGAAGTAGACTGTAGATGTCACATATCATATGGCTGAGATAACCAGAAGTAGACTGTAGATGTCACATATCATATGGCTGAGATAACCAGAAGTAGACTGTAGATGTCACATATCATATGGCTGAGATAACCAGAAGTAGACTGTAGATGTCACATATCATATGGCTGAGATAACCAGAAGTAGACTGTAGATGTCACATATCATATGGCTGAGATAACCAGAAGTAGACTGTAGATGTCACATATCATATGGCTGAGATAACCAGAAGTAGACTGTAGATGTCACATATCATATGGCTGAGATAACCAGAAGTAGACTGTAGATGTCACATATCATATGGCTGAGATAACCAGAAGTAGACTGTAGATGTCACATATCATATGGCTGAGATAACCAGAAGTAGACTGTAGATGTCACATATCATATGGCTGAGATAACCAGAAGTAGACTGTAGATGTCACATATCATATGGCTGAGATAACCAGAAGTAGACTGTAGATGTCACATATCATATGGCTGAGATAACCAGAAGTAGACTGTAGATGTCACATATCATATGGCTGAGATAACCAGAAGTAGACTGTAGATGTCACATATCATATGGCTGAGATAACCAGAAGTAGACTGTAGATGTCACATATCATATGGCTGAGATAACCAGAAGTAGACTGTAGATGTCACATATCATATGGCTGAGATAACCAGAAGTAGACTGTAGATGTCACATATCATATGGCTGAGATAACCAGAAGTAGACTGTATAGGATGTCACATATCATATGGCTGAGATAACCAGAAGTAGACTGTAGATGTCATATGTTGTGCTCTGTAACTGGAGGATATAGAAGCTACTATAGGAATGTAACTTGAAGACATCTACAGAGTATTAAGATGTGGTTTATGGTTTATTTTGATTGCATGCTGTTTTGAGTCTTCCATCCATTTTGTATACAGACACTGCATGTGTTGATACATTCTCATCATTGTCTGTTCGTCTTGTCGATGTATGTGTCTTTATACATTCTTATCATTGTGTGTGTCTATGTTGGCACATTCTGAAGCATCAAACCTTTTCACTGCCAACCCAAATTCTGTTTTACTTTAAATTTACTGAGTAGCATTGTTTGCTTTAAAAAGATTCATTTGAAATATCAGCATGGTTAGAATATTTTCAAATAAGTTTTTAAAATGTATTTAGGTGATATATCTCAATCCATTATTATGTTTTACAATTCACATGTTTACGTGTATGTTAGGCAGGATGCTTTTGAAAATTGGCATGAGTGAACGTTATTATTTTAAAAAAACTATTATTGCAAATTTTTCTCATTGTGGTGACTGTGTTTGCCAGCTATGTTGTTTAGTTCTGTTTTATTGCTCAAATGTATGTGGAATTGTTTTTATATTTTGAGCATTGTTATGCTGTATGTAAAATTGATAGATTTTAAAGGTCAAGCATTCATGCTTAAAGACATGTGCGTTAGAATCTACAAAGATAATTTTATTTGGATTGTACTTTTATGTAGGTTATCGTGTAGTTTAAAGATGCATACAAAGCCAATTTTTTGTCACAAAAAACGACCAAATGCAAGCATATAGTTTCTAGTAGTATAACTAAGAAAATTACCAAAAGGCAGTGTTTAATTTTACCCGAAAATGATGTTTGAACGGATTTTTCTGCCAGCATTCTATGCTGTATGTCAAATGGGAAGAAAAGTAGGTCACGAAAGTAGGTTAAATTTCTGATCAGAAATTTAAAGAAAGGAGCAGTCTAAAGCTCTTTTATGGCTGATCGAGTGATCTGTTCAGTTTATCCCTTGGCATGTCCAATTTATTTGAGTAGTATAAGAAACTAGTAGAAGTGGTTTACATGTGTTACTGGGATTCCACTGCTCGGTTCGTATGTACCTTTAAGGTACAGTTTAAGCGATGGAGCTTGGTCTCCCAGTAACGCATATAAACCGTTTTTACTAGTTTTTGTATGACTAAAAAAAAGCTGACCCGCCAAGGTATATATCATCAGCCAAAAGAGCTTTTACTGAGTAACAGCACCTTCTTCAAAATGTGGTCGTTAATTGACCTACTTTTCTGACCTACTTCTACCCCGTTTAAAGACAGCACAGAAAGCGGACTTAACAATCCATTTAAATATCCTTTTATCGGGTAATAGGGAACTATGTCATCTTCTGCTGTTTCTTTAATTAATACTACACATGTACATGTATGTATAACTGTATGTTAGCGTTTTGTCGACTTTAAAGCAAGAAGTGGCCTCAGATGCATCTTTAATTACTATGTTTTTGCAAGGCAAAGTTGGAAAAATTCCACAAATAGTTACAAATTTCTCTGTCCGCCCATCTCTCCACTCTAAGTATGTGTAACGTGATGTTTTACCATAATCTGTGCGCTTTTCCATGTACTGTGTGCAGATCTTTGTTTTAGATGCAGCTGTTAATATTGCCAGGTTTAAGGCTTTGTGTACACACTCCTATAACCTCCAATGATTTGCTGAAGTGAATTAACAAAAACAAAGCACTGGAAGAAAACATCGTGGTGAAGAATGTCTAATAAAATCGTGTCAAAATGAATGGAATGGTTGCTTTAATTTGTCTTGTTATGCCCAGACCTGCCTTCTCTGCTTGGATATAAAGTATTCATAATACCAATACAGCTATTAGTATACAAATATAATTAATGATAATACAATCATTTAGTCTTCTAATTGAATTGACTGTAGCTGCACTCAGTCAAGAAAGTCTCACACAGATTGATTTGGTTTATTCAATTTATTCTCATAATCAACTATAAAACTGAAAAAAAAACAAGGCAACAAAGCTGTCAAATGTACAGACAAAAATCAGAAAATAAAGATGCAGAATATAGATCATTTTGTCAATTTTGATGCAATAATCAATCATACAGCACAGTCAGTGAACACTTAAGTTTTAATCATGCACAACAGGTAACATGATCAATAAGATTACAGTTTCAGGACCATGAGAGTTCAAATTCACATAATGAAAATCCCAATATGTGAAAAATTATGACAGTGTATAAAACAATATTACATAATGTTTAACGGTATTAACACCAATATGATAGCTTATGTGGAAATACAGAAAATGTACAAAGCTGCAGGTGGATGGGAGTTAAGTCACATTTGAAAATGCCAGTGTTTGAAAAATAAATTTAAAAAAATTAAAAAAGAAAACATCAAAAAATATTTCAATTAAGTCGCTATTCAAACTTTTAATCCAGCTGTATTAACATGATATGAACATGATATGAATAACACCACAGTTTGCGGATAATAAAGCAGTTATTCATCTATAGCATTAATGTAGGCATTACACAAAATAGTTTTTTTCTCCTGTAATCTTATTTGCAATATTAAACAACATTTACCTGCATAATTACCACTGATTATAAATAATGTGACACAAATAATTTAGACTTTCACAAACTGTATCTGGCAGAGAGCTTAACTGATGGGAGTTTACAGGGAAATCTCAACATGTGGGTTTTATGTAATCTCATTTAACGGCCACTTGAAACTTAATTAGACAAGTGACTTACCAGCTCTGAACTTAGCTAGTGATTACCCAAGGGACAGTTACAGACTGACCCTCTGCTGATCACCCAATGTTGCAATAAAACTTTAAATATTATGTTAAAAAATTCATACAGAACTGCATTGTGACCAAACAGAAAGCAATCACACTGATTTTCCAACACAAACTGCACTACAGTCCTATGAATTTTTTCTATAAGATTGAGAATCATAAGTAACATGGTTTTCCCTTAATGGTCATTGTGGCAGCAGTGTTCAAAATAGGGTTTTCCTCAACTTTTTATGCAATATAACATAATGCTTAACAGCATAATGACCATCAATTTTTAATAATAAAATAAAAGTATCATGGGTATTCAGATAATGTGACTAGCAAAGGTCTTGAAGCTCATGGAAGTTCAAAGTCACGCCTTGAAAATGCCAATATATAAAAAATGAAAATTATATCACAAAATCCTTTATAACTTCCAGAAAAATCTGCCAATCAGACTCGTTTTCCAGCTTTAGCTGTACTTAAGTCCTATGTTACTTTCCTTTAAGTTTGAGAAGAGTTAGTGACATGGTTTTCCTTTAATGGTCACTATGGAGGCAGTGCCCATAATACGGTTTTCTTCAATTTTGATGCAATATTACATAATGCTTAACAGCATATAATCACCACCATTATTTAATAATGCACTGCAGGTAACATGAATATTTAAAAAATAAGACTAGCAAAGGTCAAGTCACGCCTTGAAAATGCCAATTTGTACACAAGAGAGAACTGTACTGAAATGCATTTCTTTGCATTTTCAACACTAATTTACTATCATTTTTATATGATCAACTGAGAAAATTGTTGACATAAGAAAAAATCAATAGAACAATTTTAAATGTCCAATTTCCTCCATTCTGAGATTCTGAACAAAGTGAATGATTGAATCTGACAAACTGAATGATATGAGTTTATTTCCACTTAATTACGCAATACACAATAACGGGTTTACCATCATTTTTATATAATCAACTAACAATGTTGTTCAGATGCAGAGAATGTCAATAGAATACTTTTACATATCTAATTAGTTCAATAATGAGACTATTAACATGCCTAAGAATTAAATCTGAGGAAAAAACATTTATATACAAAAAAGACAGAACTTCATCAAAACTGAACCATCAAGCTTATTTTCAAACTCAACCTGTATTTTAGTAAGATTGATCACTCCCGTGAGTTGCAAGGCAATAGGCTTATCAGTTTTCCTTGAAATGTCTTATCAGGGTTGCATATATGGTGAAGAAAGAAAAAAAAAACAGCATAACTTTTTTATGAAAATGGCCCGATCATGCTGATTATTGAACTTGGCCTGCATTTAATGAATATTCATCAGTTCTGTAAGTTTCAAGGCCAAAGGTAAAATCACGTTATCAGTTTGGATATATGCTGAATAAAGTGAAAAAACAGCATAACTTCCATAAAAATGGCCTGATCATGCTGATATTCGAACTGATACACATCTGTGTCCGTACATAAAAAAACAGGTAACAAAAGTGTAACGTCAAATGTAGAAAAACTGAAATCAAAAATTAAAAAATACAAGAAAAATAACCCAAGAATTATACTGAAAAATACACTAAGTACGTACGAAAGTACAAGAAAAAGTATAAACAGAAACGTTGCGAAGATCCGAAGCCGAAGTAGTTAACGTTAGCTTTGATATAGTTTACCTTGTCCTCCGACGAAGTGAGCTAATATCGTTATAAAAGGATAGACAGAAACGTTGTAAAGACCCAAAGCCGAAGAAGTTTACATTAGTGTGAATTACATGTAGTTTACCTTGTTCCCCAAGTGAGCTAATCCACTGTATCGTTAGAGACTTCCCTGTCCTGTTCCGTGTTTGAAAGTAAAGTGAAAAGGAAGAAAGAGGAAGCCTAACATTGACTGTGAAATGAGAACAGTTCAGTGCAGGGTGTGGTCCAGGCATGTGGTTAGGTGTGAGCGGTGACCTGTAACGTTATAATTAGTAGAGCGAGAGACACAGAGAGAGAGAGAGAGAGAGAGAGAGAGAGAGAAAACAAAGGAGGGCAAAATAGAAAGAACGGAAAATGCACTTTGCGTGAATAATAAACAAGTAAAGGACAAGTAAAGGAAAATAATAACAATAAATAAATAAATAAATATCCCCAAAAAAATGAAAACAAAGAAGTGTCGTGGGCAGTTACACTGACATTTAATAATTTACGAAAATTTAACACAATTTCCTTTTTTTCTGGTGATATGAGTTTTAAATGGTATTTGCATAAATGGTAAACAGTATTTTGGCAAAGCTAAGCTTGTCGACTTCACATTAATATCACTAGTCCAGGATTGGTGCATGTTGTAGTAGACGTCTTTAAGGGGTTTAATGCCTACAATTGGCAAGACCTTATCTCCAGATCAATGTAAGATTTAATATTAAATTTAATTTTCTCATTATCTCAGTAAAATATATAACTGGATGAATCAGAACATTCACTTTGATATGATAATACGTTGCTCGTACGCTGGGAATACGCTAGGCAAACGGCGAGCACACGAAATTGACGTTAGGAATACGTAACAGTTACGCCTTTAGTGCGGCTTGTTGTTAGAAGTAGCGTATGGAACGTATCTCTTACGATTAATTAACGTATGTTCCCATTTGTCCAGCGTATATCAACATATTCGTTGAGTATGGAAGCGATTGCGGAATGTATTTGATGTTTACCTATCGTCTGGTTATTGCGTGAGAAACCGTGCGGTTTGTCACAGTGGTACGATCAGAGTTCAGTTTCCACAGCTGGTCCAGATGGAGGTGACGATTTTATAATACCAGTTGGATTTTATAATACCAGTTGGATTTTATCCAGTTTGCAGTTCAAAATTATTAACCAAACAGAAGTACGCTGCCCAATCATTTCCCACATGCTTATATGCGTTATTCATTGCATTTATATGTATACATATACGGTACTCAAATGCTAATTAAAACTCATACAGGTATATAGCCTACATGCTTATCAAACGCTCACATGCGGTTCTTATATCAGGCCTACCCAACAACCAGAATCGGCACCTACGGATCCAGAATAAACCGGTATATCAGACCA